GGTCCCTGTGCTTTACTAAGCTTGTTCTAAGTAGGTGCTTTAGACCACTGAGCCATCTCACCAGCCTCTGGAAGTCTTTTTTGAGATAAGGTCTCACTGTTTAGCTTAGGCTAGCTGTGAACTACTTTTGTCAACAAGGCTGACCTTGAACTTGAGGTTATCCTGCCACCTAAGCTTCCAGAGTACTGCAATGAAAGGTTTGCATATTTCGCTATTGTTTTTTATTGTGGTAATGGTGACCAAACCTAGGAAATGTACCTACTAGGTAAGAAACTTACATTTCAGTTACACAACCTGCTAATGCACTCTGCTTTAAACATAGCTCGTACATTATCATATATTCATCTCAGTATTCCTGATAAGACTTAATATTCCCACTGCACACATAGTGCTGAGAAAGCCACAACACAGATTATAATTTGAGATATTTCTAATTAGATAACAACTGCACAGTCTGGGTGTGGCCACAAACACCTGCTATACAAGTACTCAGCAATCTGAGGCAGGAAGATAATGTTAAGATAGAATTGTCTGGGCTGGTGAGATGGCTCAGTGGTCTAAAGCGCCTACTTAGAACAAGCTTAGCAAAGCACAGGGACTGCGGTTCAATCCCCCAGCACCACATGCCAGCCAGCCCCGCCCCCTGGTGGGCTGAGCTGGCCACACACACACACAAAATAAATAAATAAATATTAAAAAAAAAAAAAAAAAAAGTAGAGAGACCCTGTAGACCCTTACTAAAAAGTACACACACACACACAAATTATAAGCTCTTTCCTTTAACTTTGACTGAATATAGCATCAAGATACTAACACAAGTATTTGATCATGAAACAAAAATGGATTTATTTTACTTCCTAATCTAGGACAATATTCAGGGCAAAGTTCTGATATAATATATATATATATATATATATATATATATACATATATATATATATTAATATGTCAGAAAAATATTAAAAATTGTATAGGACATCCTCAGATCATAACAAGACTAAACAATGAGAACCAATACTATATTCATATTGATAAAACAGGTAACTTCTTAATAAAGCCATGTGAGTTATGTTCAGGAAATAGTACTTAAAACATAAGCCCTTGTACATTAGTTTCTGTTATGTAAGTCTTCTTCTGATTAGTCAGTTAAGAGCAATAGTCAAAATTTCCTCAGCTGTAAATTTATGCTGCAACGTTTCAGCTTTTCCTGTAAGTTGGAATTTTAGCAGCTTCTTAAACACATTATCTTCTGTTTCTTCTCAGAGAACTTATGCTCATGAAAGGGTCATCATCATCCTGAAATGACAGACATTTAGGTCAGCGGCTGTGGCAGCCTGCCGAGAGAAGGCGGACACTCATAGCAAGGCAGCCCCAGCAAGAGCCACTTGCTTTTTTCACCCACAACAGACTTCATTTTTGTTTCCTTTATAAATAAGTCCAACTCAACTCTCAGTGAACATTAAAAATAACATTTTATCTCGTGATATGTATATGTGTACCTACAATTACGGACTATATATTTCCTCAGTTATTAATCTTAACGTAAATCAGGTATGTTCAGCCAAGAAAAAACAACCACATCTTTTTTGGTTTGGGAATAACAATAGCTTTTTTTCATTTACAATTTATTACCGGTGACTGCTATTCTGGAAAGTCAACCAAAATGTAAGGAAGGGGCTGGTGAGATGGCTCAGTGGTCTAGAGCACCTACTTAGAACAAGCTAAGCTAGGCAAAGCACAGGGACCGCGGTTCAATCCCCCAGCACCACATGCCAGCCAGCCCCGCCCCCTGGTGGGCTGAGCTGGCCACACGCACACACGCGCGCACACACACACACAATAAATAAATAAATAAATAATTAAAAAAAAATGTAAGGAAGCCATCTGGTGCAGGGCTAACTCAAATAAGGGCTATAACTGTACCACTACGCATTGAATGCCGAAAGTAGAGAGCTACTCTCAAATGGATGCGAGAAATTACATAGTGAAGCAATCTTTCAAAAACTTTTTTGAGGGGCCAGGAAGATAGCTCAGGAGAATAAGCGCTTGCCTGGCAAATGCATGGGCCTGAGTTCAATCCCTGGTTCCGAAGGGGGGGGGGGGAACTTTTTTTGAAAAAGCATAAAGAATTATTTCAAAATTTCTTATGATTATATGCATAGCAAGAATAAAGAGGAATATGAAATATTAACCAATAAGTTAATTGAAGGGAACGAAAACTAACAAACCTTAGATAAGCCCAAGTTACACAAACTGATTATATTCTGTAACTCAATACTCAGAAGATAAAAATTTCAGATTTATGTTTTCATTAAGACATGAATTATTTCTCGATGCTACACCTTACTGGTGGATTAACAAATGCAAATATTAAATAAAGTAACAATCTCATTAGAAATGGATGGCTGGAAAAAATATAAATTGACTTTCATGATTTCCTCCTACTGTAATGTTAAAAATCAAAGGGAGAAACTTGCTCTAGATAAATCCAAGATGAAGGGTCGAGTGCATCTGCTGGTAGTTCTTCTCTAAGTTGCATGACCTAGCAGTTCACTGGACTTTCAGCGACACACACATTTAGGCACCTCGCTCGTTTTCGCCTGGAAGCAGCCTGTCAGCATTTCAGGTAACACTGAGTGAGCTCTTGTTGCCACTTGACTTTGAACCCTGACATGATGAGCCCTCTCAAGATGTTTCAGAATTACATAAAAGACAGATAAAAAGAAATATAGAGCTAGAGCTGAAATGAGAAGGGGACCAAGAGATGGAAAAAGGACCGGAGAAGGCGAAGAAATAGAATTAGGATGTGTCGTGTAATGTACCAACTTCCCACAAGGAAGCTTTATGTACTACAAACATGTACTAATAAAAAGCTAAAACTTGAAAACAATCAGCTGAGATAGAAGATACAAGACAGCAGCAGCGGATACGCGGTGCCACAGAGGGAGGTCATCGGCTACAATGTGGATGCACCTTGAGGACATGAGGCAAAGTGGACCAGGCCAGTCACAAAAAGAGAAAGACTGTGATTCTTAGACACACTCACAGAAAGAAAAAGTAGAATATTAGATGGAAGGGACTGGGGGGAGGGGGAATGGGGAACTTGGTTAATCCAATTACATGGGGTTACAATTTCTAAAATTTTTGCATGAAACTCATACATGTTACCTAGAAAAATTCAAGGAACAAGAATTTGAAAAGAAAAAATTTTGTTGTGCTCCACTATTCTGGGCATTTCAAAATGGAACAATAGACATTTAATGATTCAGGGGTATACAGTTTCAGTATTGCAAAATGAAAAGGTTCAAAAGATCTGTTTTACAACAATGTGAATATATTTAACACTACTGAACTGCATACTTCATGGATAAAATGGATTTTGAAAAGTGGTTAAGATGGAATATGCACTTTAACTATAATTAAAAACCTTTTAAATGAAAAATAAATAAAGAAAAGGGAGACAAATCTAACAGAGATACCTTCAAGCAATTTAATAAAAACTTGCAAAAGCCCTTCCAAGGGCAGTCATGGAGGGAAGGGAAAGGCCAGGGCTCTTTAGTCCTGTATCTTTAATTCACCTAAATTGTAACAAAGACAGCAAAGATAAGGGCAAGTCCTACTTATACCTCTTCCTCTTCCTCTTCATTTAAGTTATAGAAAACGTTTTAGTATGAATTAGTGTTGTTTCCCACACAGCATTTTGGTCAGTGTCTTACGTATTTATGTGACATGCAAATAATCACCAGGTCCATCATCTTACATATGAAACACGTGGATAGGTCATTACTAAGCATTCTATTAAAGTAATATTAAAGCTCTTACATTTCATCACCATCATCTCTTCAAATATAAATGGCAGAAGCTAAAGAACACTACTCCCATCTACTAACCTGGCAAATTGCACAAGAACTGAGTGCATACCATATTTTAACAAGCTGAGCAATTACACTGCTGAACACTGAACAGTTTCACTTTTGATTTTTTTTTAAATTTTTTTTATTTTTTATTTATGCGTGTGTGTGTGTGTGTGTGTGTGTGTGTGTGTGTGGCCAGCTCAGCTCAGCCCACCAGGGGGCGGGGGCTGGCTGGCATGTGGTGCTGGGGGATTGAACCGCGGTCCCTATGCTTTGCTAAGCTTGTTTTAAATAGGTGCTTTAGACCACTGAGCCATCTCACCAGCCCCTTCACTTTTGATTTTTAACACTAGTTCAAAGGAAAGTTGTTTTCAAGAAATACCTTTTAGTAACCTGCTAGCAGCCCCTCGCGTAAAATTCAAAAACATTTTCAAATTTAACATTAGTATTTTATTACCTCTTCTGATTCAAAGTCAACCCCCTTGGCTGTGTGACTCTGGGACAGTTGCTTGCCGGATGATATGCCGGAACACCTGAGGGGAGACGAGAAAGAAAAAGCCAAAGACAATGAACTGGAGCACTGATTAAAAGCGTATTTCTGGGGCCGGGGAGATGGCTCAGTGGAATAACCGCTTCCCTGGCAAGCGCAAGACCCTGAGTTCAATCCCTGGTTCCGCCAAAAAAACAAACAAAAAACCCAAAACAAAACAAAACAAAACAAAAAAGCGTATTTCTGGAATAACATAATCAAAAAGAAAGCGAGAACTTGAGGATTAAGCAACGAAGACAGGGCAAGAAGAAAAGCTAGGAAACACATTTATACACACAAGATAGGTACCACAATGATTCTGAGAATCTTCAGCAGTTTTTTTTTTTTTTTTTTTTTTTTTTTTTTTTTTGCAGAACCGGGGATTGAACTCAGGCCCCTATGCTTGCCAGGGAAGCGCTTATTCCACTGAGCCATCTTCCTGGCCCCTTCAGCAGGTTTTTGAAACTAGAAGTTAACTGGTAGGATTCTCACCCTGACTGATACATGTGAACTAAGTAACTGTATTGAAGATAGCAGTGTGTAACACTAAGATCATGCTTGGAATGCCTGTCATCTTGGTCTTCTAAATACGTACTGCTTGTCATGTCCTACCAATTACTGCCATACTGTCTAAAGTAAATTTTTTTTTTTGGCTGGCTCAGAATGCCTTCGGAGCATGTTTGGCTGGCTGGAGTTGTGGGGATCAAACCACAGCAACTGAGGCTGACTGCTTTGTTGAAGCAGCCACTTAAACAACTGAGCTAATGGGCAGGCCCCCAATGTTATTTTTAAAAGGGTAATAAATGAAAATAAGAGACAAGAAAAAAAAATGTCATAGGACTGTCCTGCTACAATGTTATATATGGTTAGATTTCTAAATTTCTGTGTAAAAATGTGCAATTCTTTATTCCTACCTTTAAAAAAAAAAACTTTTTTTTTTCTTCACATTCTATAGGGATTTAAAGTTTAACATATCAATACTTGATGGAAAATACCTGTTCCATGTTACATCTAACATGTATGATATTCAGAAAGATAGTGGGGTTAACCTCAATTGCCTATGTTTTAGGGTAATAATATCATTAGCTTCTCTTATGGAGGGTTAACAACTTAAGTCTACAGACCAAAAATTAGAGAAAAAGAAGGGCTGCAAGGACAGCCAACGTTTTGGCCCTAGCCTTTCAAGGTCAGTGAAGACTGAAGACATAGGAGAACCTGTATTGTAACATGATGTAACTCAGCTGTGTCCCAAATTTTCTGATCAAGGAGATTATGGAAAGTGATTGATGATGTAGAGTGTGCCTAAGGAGAGTCACATGGAGAGAAAAAATTCTCTCAGGCTTTCACAGAGAGCAAAGTGGTCAAACAATGGTCGTGACTCATCCACATGGCTGACAATAACAAAGGATCTACAAACTGTGTGGTACAGGGTTGCAGGATAAATCCTCAGGGGATTTGACTGACCTTGTCAGATACAAAAGTT